AAAAATCTATACTCCATAGGAATCTGGAATGTAAGATCTATGAATCAAGGCAAGCTGGACGTGGTCAAACATGAGGTGACAAGATTGAACATTGACATCTTGGGAATCAGTGAACTAAAATGGACAGGAATGGGTGAATTTAATTCAGATGACCATCAGGTATACTACTGCAGGCAAGAATCCCTCAGAAGAAATGGAGTAGCCTTCATACTCAATAAAAGAGTAGGAAAAGCAGTACTGGGATACAATCTCCAAAATGACAGAATGATCTCAGTTCAAATCCAAGGTAAACCATTCTGCATCACAGTAGTCCAAGTCTATGCCCCAACCACTGATGCTGAAAAGGCTGAAGTTGACCGGTTCTATGAAGGCCTACAACACCTTCTAGAATTAACACCCAAAAAAGATATCCTTATCATCATGGGGGATTGGAATGCTAAAGTAGGAAGCCAAAAGATAACTGGAATAACAGGCAAGTTTGGCCTTGGGGTACAAAATGAAGCAGGGCACAGGCTGGTAGAATTTTGTCAAGATAATACAATGGTCATAGCAAACACTCTTTTCCAACAACCCAAGAGACGACTCTACACATGGACTTCACCAGACGGTCAATTCAGAAATCATATTGAGTATGTGCTCTGCAGCCAAAGATGGAGAAGCTCTATACAGTCAGTAAAAACAAGACCAGGAGCTGACGGTGGCTCAGATCATGAGCTTCTTGTTGCAAAATTTAGGCTTAAATTGAAGAAAGTAGGGAAGAGCACTAGGCCACTCAGGTATGACCTAAATCATATCCCTGATGAATATACAGTAGAGGTAACAAATAGATTTAAGGAATTAGATGTGATAGACAGAATGCCTGAAGAACTAAGGACGGAGGTTTGCAACACACTACAAGAGGTAGCAACTAAAACCATCCCAAAGAAAAAGAAATGCGAGAAAGAAAAATGGCTGTCTGAGGAAGCTTTACAAATAGCTGAGGAAAGAAGGGAACTGAAAGCCAAGGGAGAAAGAGAAAGATACATCCAATTGAATGCAGAATTCCAGAGAATAGCTAGAAGAGATAAGAATGCTTTCTTAAATGAACAGTGCAAAGAAATAGAAGAAAACAATAGAATAGGGAGGACCAGAGATCTCTTCAAGAGAAGTGGAGATATGAAGGGAACATTTCATGCAAAGATGAGCATGATAAAGGACCAAAATGGCAGGGACCTAACAGAGGCAGAAGAGATCAAAAAGAAGTGGCAAGATTACGCAGAAAAACTATACAAGAAAGAGTTTAACATCCCTGATAACCACGATGGGGTGATTGCTGATCTCAAGCCAGACATTCTGGAATGTGAAGTCAAATGGGCCTTAGAAAGTCTGTGCAACAACAAAGCTAGTGGAGGTGACAGTATTCCAGCTGAGCTATTCAAAATCCTAAAAGATGATGCAGTAAAAGTGCTACACCCAATATGCCAGCAAATTTGGAAAACTCAACAGTGGCTACAGGATTGAAAAAGGTCAGTTTACATCTGATCCCAAAGAAGGGCAATGCCAAAGAATGTTCAAACTACCGCACCATTGCACTCATTTCACATGCTAGCAAAGTTATGTTCAACATTCTACAAGCTAGGCTCCAGCATATGTGGACCAAGAACTACCAGAAGTACAGGCAGGATTTCGAAGAGGCAGAGGAAATAGATCAAATTGTCAACATACACTGGCTCATGGAGAAAGCTCGAAAGTTCCAGAAAAATATCTACTTCTGCTTCATTGACTATGCTAAAGCTTTTGATTGTGTGGATCACAACAAATTGTGGCAAGTTCTTAAAGAGATGGGAGTACCAGACCATCTTATTTGTCTCTTGAGAAACCTATATGCGGGTCAAGAAGTAACAGTGAGAACTGGACAGGGAACCACTGATTGGTTCAAAATTGAGAAAGGAGTTCGGCACAGCTATATATTGTCGCCCTGCCTATTTAACGTATATGCAGAGCACATGAGAAAGGCGGGGCTGGATGAGTCACCACTTGGAATTAAGATTGCTGGGAGGAATAGCAACAACCTCAGATATGCAGATGATACCACTCTAATGGCAGAAAGTGAAGAGGAACTAAAGAGCCTCTTGATGCGGGTGAAGGAGGAGAGTGCAAAAGTTGGCTTAAAACTCAACATTAAGAAAACTAAGATCATGGCATCCAGTCCTCTCACTTCCTGGCAAATAGATGGGGAAAAAATTGAGGTTGTGACAGATTTTATTTTCCTGGGCTCCAAGATCACTGCTGACAGGGACTGCAGCCAAGAAATTAAAAGATGCTTGCTCCTTCGGAGGAAAGTTATGGCAAATCTAGACAGCATACTAAAAAGCAGAGACATCACCCTGCCGACAAAAGCGTGTATAGTCAAGGCTGTGGTTTTCCCAGTTGCAATGTATGGCTGTGAAAGTTGGACCATATGGAAGGCTGAGCGCCGAAGAATTGAGGCCTTAGAATTGTAGTGCTGGAGAAGACTCCTGCGAGTCCCTTGGACTGCAAGGCGATCAAACCGGTCAGTCCTAGAGGAGATCAACCCTGACTGCTCTTTAGAAGGCCAGATACTGAAGATGAAACTCAAATACTTTGGCCACCTAATGAGAATGAAGGACTCATTGGAGAAGACCCTAATGCTGGGAACAATTGACGGCAAACGAAAAAGGGGATGGCGGAGAATGAGGTGGCTGGATGGAGTCACTGAAGCAGTCTGTGTGACCTTAATTGGACTCCGGGAGATGGTGGAGGACAGAAAGGCCTGGAGGAATGTTGTCCTTGGGGTCATGATGGGTCGGACATGACTTCGCGACCAGGAACAACAAAATATGTATCCAGTTATATCAATCAAACCATGACTAGACATTTAAAAAAAATGTATTTAAATAAAAATGTCTTTAGGAGATGCCAAAAACAAAACAAGCACGGATGCCTGCCAGACATCAACTGGCAGGGAATTCCCCAAACAGCAAGCCAGTCAACTAAAAGCTTTACTTTGAGTGGACTCTGAATGGACTTCAGGTCCATGTGGAATCACCAGGTGCACTTTATCCAGTGACCTCAATGACTGGACAGTCTAATAAGAGAGAAGACTCTCTCTCAAATATCCTGGTCCCAAATGTTGTATGGCTTTATACAGCAATGGAAAAACCTTAAATAGGCAGTTTAGTCAAAGGTGCTACATGCTGAGTGCCCTCAGCAACATCCAACCACTGGCATTCTGCACTAGCAGCTTTCAGTCCATCCTTAAGAGCAGTAATCCAGTCTTGAGGTTACTAGCATCTATATCACAGTGGCCAAGTTATCCAGGAAAGGCTGTAGCTGGTGCACCAGGGAAAGCATCAGAAATCAGTCCAGGAGCACCCACAGGCTTTAGATGTTTCAGAAAGAGTGCAACTGCATCCAGAACAGACAATATGCCCATCTGCTGGGCTTGGAAACCACTCACCCACACGCCTTTCATTTTAACAGAATGCAGCTCCAATTTATTGGCACTTATTCAGTTCATTACTAAGTCCAGACACTGGTCTAGGACTGGCACAGTTCAGATGCCACAGATAGATAAAAGGGCTGAGTGGAATGAGACAATCTAAACAGGTTAGAACACAGCACTGACATACTGTACTGCAGGTTTGTAAATATATTTACAACAGTTACTAACTCATGGCACCTTTTTACAAATCTGCATGCTGACTCCAATATTTGAAGGTATTGTATTTCTGACTACCTTAAACAGCTCTAGCAAATGACTGATGGAATAGATCTTTTAGGTCTCCTTAGCAGAAAACTTGACTTTTTGATATTATGTAGTTTGTATGTAGCCGGTTCACTTCCTATCTAGGCACTATCAGACTACAATTATGAAATTTTACTACAGTTTATATACTTTATTGTAGCATTCTAGCAATGTTTTATATATTGGCTATTATTAAATATTTGCGGTGGTAAAAACTAATAGATATTGATTAACTAAAAGTAGAAGCCTATACATGTCTATATATATAGGTTTAGGAACCTATACATTAAAGTAAGTTTCACTGAGTTTAGTGGGGCTTACTTGCAAGTATATGAATACAACACTACAACTTAAATCAGATCAAAAAACAACTTGGATGCCAATCAGAATACATTTGCTCATGAAAAAGCCTCATTAGTGACTCACAAGTTAACAGATTTAGAATTTCAGGCCAAACACTTGCTTCTCTTGAAGCTACAGACAACTGTCCATCCTTAATAGTTACACATTAAAATGTGGACATATATTCAGGAATCACTAGGACTGGTTGCAATAAATGGAACTGTTATTAAATGTTTGTATTCTGCAGTTAAAATGAGTGTATTTAAGAGAAATCAGTAGCTCTGGCAGATCAGAATTCTCACTCTACCACTAAGCTGAACTGCCTTGATCTAGAGCCACTCACCATCTTTCAGTCTAACATATTTCACAAGGCTGTTGTGAGAATGAAAAAAGGAGAAGGAAAGAGAGGCCCTTACACCCCGAGGCACTGAAAAGGGGAATTTAAAAATAAGAGGAAAAAAAGAACATACATCAGCCACAAGTTATCTAGTACAATAAAAATATAATTCATATAGAATCATTTATTTTATTCCATTCTGCACAAGAAGCGGCCTATAAAGCGGAATATTCCTCCCACTATCATGGCTCTTTTGTTACAACCATAACAGGATGGCCTAATCTCGCATAACTTAATTCTACAGAAAAGCGGGGAGAGAGACTGAGGCACAAGAATACAAATAACAGCTCGATTTTCTGGCACTGTGCATCAGAGAAACGGGAAGTTTTATACTAGCGTGTCTAATCAAACTATACAAAGCGTGGGAGAAAGAGGGCAACCAGGCTCCACGCACAACGACAGTCATTTCCAGGATTCATAACTGGCGCATCGAAGGAGATTCCGGGCACCTGGAGACGGCATCCCCCGGCATGCTCACCGCCACGGGAGGCCAAAGATACCGAGCGCAGTTACCTGCCTCACTGGAGCCCCACACACGCGACGTGCTCGACGCTTCTTCTCCCACGGGGGGGGCCCTTCCCGCGGTACCTCCGCAATGACCGGCAATGCCCCCCAGTAGCATCACTCAGCCCTCTCCAGCTCCTCTGTTTACAATCTGCCCCGGTTCTCATCAGAAATTCCTCCCCGCAACAGCCAGGGAAACCGAAACCGACACGAAGGTTCCGTCCTGCAGTTCCACGCCCCGCCGGCTGCGCTGCGGCTCGGGATGGCCGTCCAGGAGTCGCGCGGTGGCAGGGGAGCAGGCAGGTTTCTGGAGCTGTAAGCTGAAGAGCAGCACGGAGGCTCCCATCTTCTCCCGGCCTTGTCCTTTCTGGGACGTTTGGATGTCTGTGTGTGTCTGAGTTTGCATGCGCGCGTAAAGACGGTGGCTCCAGTTGCCTAGAGAGTCCTTGGGCTCTCCCATACTAGAGGCATTCAAAATGAACCTGGACAGCCAGGGTGTAAATTAGTGTCCTGCAGCCAGTTGGCTTTCTTGGCCCCTTCCGACTCTGCTCTTTTGTTCTATGATATGCATTACCCTGTGCCCAAAAAGTAATTTTAAGAAATTCAAACAGGAGCCAGTGTGGAGTAATGGTTGGAGTCTTGGACTGGGATCCTGGGCAACAGGGTTCTGGTCCCACCTTGCCTGGAAGCTCACTGGGTCACGTGGGCCAGTCATCCGTTCTCAGCCTACCCTACCTTGAAGGTTGTTGTGCGGATAAGACAGATATTGGGAAAATTTGGATAAATCCTGTCAGAAAAACATTGCTTCTGTGTGCTTTTGCATTGTGGAAGCAGTCCTGTACTCCTACTCAAACCAAGCTAAGTCATGTTTAAAATGGCATTCCCCCCCCCCTCGCTCCTTTCTCTCAATACTTGTTGGAATTCACAGTTTACCAGGAAGTATCTTTTGCTAGCCCAGAGGGCTTCATGTTCCTCGGCTATTCAGAATGGTGCAGATGCATTACTTAGGGTCTGAGTCTGGATGAGCTTATCATGAATAGTTTCTCAGTAGCTTGAATTTACATGTCTAAGCAGACCTGGAGATGGGTTCAGGTTACTTGGCTGAAGTGTCAATACACTGCAATTGGAGGTGTTGTAATCTCATTGTCACTGTATGATTGACTGACATTCCTTTATCTGTTCTGTATATGATGAGCTCAGAATTTTATTGTAATCCCTGCATTCTGTCATTGATTGCTCTGTGCCTGTGTATGTGACTGGGAGGGTATAAAATACCCTGTAGTTGTATTGAGGTTTTGCAGCGAGTTCATCTCTGCGTGCCCGGTAATGCATTATCGTGAGTATGGACCCACGGGGAACCTAGGCCAAACAATAAAGCCACAGATGGTCTGGATGCTTGATCTTTCCCACGAACCCGAGTTTTATTTCCTCCTCACGAATTGAAATTCCAGGATTTTCTGACACAGACTGGAGGTGGAGGCTTATGTAAGCTGCCTTGGAGTCCTTGTAAGAAAAAAAGCATTAATAACCGCATATCCCCAACCCTTAGGAAGCTTTGCCCAGTTGCACAAGCCCTGAAGCTATGTAAGGCTTGCGACAACACAGCCTGAGATCACCAGATCCCACAAATGATGCACAGTGCTACCTTGGCTCAGGAACGCCTCAGTTCATGACCAAATTGGGTTGGGTTGCAAACAGACATTTCTGAAAAATTTTGCCTCGGGTCGCAAACTCCACATTGGGTGATGATCGCAATCGCGCCCACCTCCCCCCATTGCACCCACAATCGCGCCTACCTCCCCTGCAGCACGCTCACAATTGCACCCATCTTCCCCCCGCCAGCACACCCGCTTCAAATTTTTGTGATTAAAAAAAAATAGTTACAGAATGGATTAACCTTATTTACATTGAACCTTATGGGGAAATTTGACTTGGTTCACAACCAATTTGGGTCACGACCAGATTAAGTTTGTGAGCCAAGGTACCACTGTACATTTCTATGAGCATTCAGCTGTTTTGTACATAATACTAAGCCCTGTTTTATTTAACCCATAGTTTGTTACCCTCCTCGGGGTTTGCTTGTCAGATATGAATGATCCACGGTATAAATATAATAAATAATAACATTAGTGTGAGCTATAGTAAGACTTAGAATTAAGGCTGCAACACTTACCTGGGAGTTAGTTCCATTGGAATGAAATAGCTGAGCAGACATATCTAGGATTGTACTACAAGAGAACTATAGTTAGGATACAATCCTATGCATGCTTAGGCAGAAAGAAATCTTACAACTGCCTGCATGCCCCAGACAGCTGTGCTATTCTGCAAGTTGTTGCTCCCTTCATCCTTGATGTTTGCGTATATTACAGAATATATCATCATTCTTCTGTTCACTTGCTACTGTTATACTTTTCCTTGTTTTATTTATTTATGTATTTCATTTTACTTCTATGCTGTTCTCTGGGTAGCTTACAGATCCCGAAACAGCAAATAAAATACAGTCAATAAAACAGATAAAGGCAATAAAATTAATAAAGCATTAAATGTATCTCAGCATAATAACGTCCATATATGCTCACCTGCACCTTGAGATCTGCGGGAGAGGCCCTTCTCCGGGAACCCTCCGTGAAGGAAATTAGGAGGGTGAGTGCTCGGAGGAGGGCTTTCTCTGCGGTGGCGCCCATTCTATGGAATGCGCTCACCAGAGAGGTCCGCCTGGCGCCATCGTTATTTGTTTTTCGGTGCCAGGCGAAGACCTTTTTATTCAACTGTCATTTTAATTGTTAATAGTATTTATTCATTTTATTCTTTGGCCAGGGCGACTTAATTTATACTGTTAATTTATATTATTTTATGGAAGTTTATTTATAGATGGGAGCCGCCCCGAGGCTTTGGCAAATGGGGCGGCATAGAAGTCTCCTAAATAAATAAATAAATAAATAAATAATAAAAAGTATGCAAAGACATGTACAAGACATATCCAAATATAACCAAAATATTTTAAACAATCACAAATTAAGTAAATAATCATCAAAAAAATGCAATTTAAATTAACCAAATGCTTGCTGGACCAAAAAAGTTTTACCTTGTGCCTAAAAGAAAGCAAGGTTGGTGCCAGCCATATGTCCCTGGGGAGTGAATTCCAAGGTCCTACAGAGGCTACCCCCCTCCTAGCCCTTTCCCCCTTATCTGCCTCATTAACCTAAACTTATGCAAAAGTACCATGTCCAAACAAGGGTTGGCAATTTAATGCATTGTTTATAGAATTCTTAAAAGAACAATAGAAATTGTGCTTTTTTAAACTGCAAACTTCCTCAAAGAACCACAATCCCCCAAAGTTGCAATATGCATTAAGGCATATTGGTTATACCAACTCGTCCAAAAGTATACCTGTCCCCACACCTTGGAGCCCAAGGCCTGGATGCTAGTTTCGATGCATAACAATATATGTCTGGTGGTTCTTCTCTCTCTTTATTTCTTGATGGCTTCCCTGTGGTATGGGCAATTCAGAACAGGTCCAGGTAAAAGGTTCCTTATCACTTTCCTCCATGACAGGCTTCATGGGTTGAACACCTTTCCACACACCTACAACCTGTGCTGAAAGAGCCATACTGGCTGCTGGTTTCCTGCATTGTTACTGCCATATAAAGCCCCAAAAAGCTTAGGGCGGGGTTACCTAAAAGATCACCTTCCACTAAGAAGATTCAGTTGATCATGAGACGCTTGAAGATTTTTAGGTATGGCATATGCTGCTGAGCATCACTGGTTGGCCACTTGGCAACAGGATTTCCCTGTCATGTGGCCCACCCTTTAGGATGAAATCTGTGATAAGAAGCATATGCATTTGATGTTTATTTTTTTTAAAAATGGCTTTCCCAGGGAAACATTTTATTTACAATATCATTGCATTTTATAGTGTTTTATTGTTTCAGAATTTATTGTAAATTAGTTTTGGAATTTTTAATATGGGAAGCAGTATATAAATATTTGAAATAAATAAATGCAGACAAGAGAAGAAAAGGTGACTTATTACTTTACCAATGCAGTAACTTAAGCTACATTTCTTACCACAGACTCTTCAAATGAAATGGGTAGAAACAGGTTTGGCAAGTCATTGTTTGAGCTACAGTGCATTTGCTATTTTTATGTGCAGTATCCCAGATGGATAAATATTTAAGAGCACCAGGTACAGAAGGTAGGGTGCCCACTTAGGAATCATTCAAACAGGGACAGGGGACAAAAATGAAGAATTTGCATGTGCCACTTTTTATGTCTAGCCACAAATTAAAAATAATTATTCTAATTCAAATAGAGTACATCTCATTGTGACCAGATGACCTGTTTGGCTTCTCCATCTGTTATCCAGGTGCTGCTGATGGGCAATTTCAAATCTCAGACCCTTCTGATGGTCCCACATCTTTATGCTAGATGAAGAGTGAACAGCCCTTGGAAGACCAGATGCCTTCAATGTAGAGGACTTCCCTCTGTAAAAGCCTGGATTCATGGTCACACTGAAGCAGAGTGCACAATTGGGATGCTTCTTCTAAGATCTTGTGTGGCAACTGCAGTTTTTAGAAGTGTGTGCACATGTGTGTGTGTATTTATCAATTTGTTTTAAATTGTACTGCCTTTTTGGTTGATTAATGACATAGTCCTATAAATGTCTATACAGAAGTAAGTCATTTTGAGTTCAAAGGAGCTTAACCCCAGGTTAGTGGGTACAGGATTGCACCCTGAAAAGTTTTGTAATTGAATCTAACAGAGAGATCAGGGTTTGTAGTCAAACCAAATACACAATTGGGATACAATCCTATATCCAATTCCCATTAATTCAGTGGGAATTACTTGTGGCTAGTCATGTAAACTAGTCATTAGAGGGACTGCAGGTGGCGCAGTGGTTTAAACCAGTGTGCTGCTGGGCTGGTAGATTGAAAGGTCACCGGTTTGAATCTGTACAACAGAGTGAGTTCCCATTGCTCCATCCCAGCTCCTGCCAACCTTGCCGTTTGGAAGCATGCAAATGAAAGTAGATAAAAAGGTACCACTTCGGTGGACAGGTAACAGCGTTCCGTGCACTTTGGTGTTTAGTCGTGCCGGCCACATGACCACGGAGACTGTCTGTGGACAAACACTGGCTCCCTCGGCTAGGAAACGGACATGAGCACCACCCCCTAGA